ATATATGATTAAAAAAAAGCATACACGCGTAATACTTTTTTTACATTTTAATAAACATTATTTTAATTTTGAGAAATATACGATATTATTTTTATGGTTGTCAACATTTGATGATATTAAACGCAGATTAAAGCTCCGAACATAGTCGTTACGTTACTTTTTCATAAAACGTATATTTTTGTAGAGAAAAAAAAATCAACTATTTCATGGATCTTTTGAAGTCTTGGAAATTGGATTTAGTTTATTACGAAGCAAATTGCTCCGAAAAGATTTAAAACAATTAAATGAGATTGAGAAATTTCATAATTATTTGATAAACTTCTNTACTTTTTTCATAAAACGTATATTTTTGTAGAGAAAAAAAAAAATCAACTATTTCATGGATCTTTTGAAGTCTTGGAAATTGGATTTAGTTTATTACGAAGCAAATTGCTCCGAAAAGATTTAAAACAATTTTAATTAAATGCAAATGCAATTTTTTTTTATGGAGTTGTGGCTGTTTAAATTATAAATGAGATTGAGAAATTTCATAATTATTTGATAAACTTCTAAAACAACAATGTTTTTTCTCACATTTAATGCGTATGAATTGATCGTTAAAACATTTTAATTAAATGTGTGAAAAAATAATGATTTGGAACTAATTAAATCAGGCAATATTCAAAGTTTTACAATTATTTAACGAGATTAAGTAATGAAGGCTTAATTTCCTTCCATGCTTTGTTTTTTGAATATAAAAATGAGTATTTAATTTCGTAAAATGAAATGGTATGAACTTCACAATTTTTTAACAAAATTAGTCGACATGAGAAGTTTTTTTACTGAAATCACTTGGAATTCACTACATTTTTGCAGTAATTTCATCAGCTTAAGATCGTAATCTCTTTTAACTTAAAAATTTCCTTTATAAATAGATAACTATATTGATTTTTTTCTTTTAAATAGGAGAAAATTATCCGTAAAATATTTTTTAATTTACACATTTAGTTATTATATTGTTGGAAAATTATTAATGCACTGGAAATCATTTTATTTTTCGCAACATTTTATGGAAATTAATTTGTATTCGCTGTTTTGATAATTTCAAACAGAATTCGGCAAAACATCTTTTCAAATTGAGTGGGGGAAAAAAAAGACTTTTATATGGAACAAATTTTAACATATCATCTTCTATTTTTAATTATTATTTTAAGAAGATTTCAATCACCGATAAAAAAAAACAAATAAAATTTAAGTAAAACTTTGTCTTAATTTATTGGAATTAAGCACTCACTGATGTTATTGGTAACCAATCGCGATGATGTAGTACTGCTGAATTTAGTGTTTTATATAATATTTTGTGCAACTTGAAATCGAAAGTTTTATTCCTTTTGGAGCAATTAAAAGTTCAAATTTGCGCATTAACAATATTTTGTGAAACCTGAGGTAGCAATTTTCGTCTGTTTTGATGCAATTTGCATAAATGCAATTTGCAAGTTAACAAATTTTCATGATCTGGAGTAGCGAGTTTCATTAGTTTCGGCGTAATTCAGGGAAACAAATTTGTACTACCTGACGTAGCGAGTTTCACCAGTTAGACAAGTTATTCAATGTGTTATTCAGAATAACACATTTGCATTACCTGGAGAAGCAAGGTTGGGGCGTAATTCAGAATAACAAATTTGTACTACCAGGAATAGCGAATTTCATCATATTGTGCCCAATTCAGTGTAACAAATTTGTACTACCCTAAGTAGAGAGCTACATCAGTTTGAGCTCAGTTCAGAGTAACATGGAGTTGAGAGTTTCTTCGATTTGGACGTAATTCTTCAGAATAACAAATTTGTACTACCTGGAATAGCGAACTTCATCATATTGTGCCCAATTCAGAGTAACAGGTTTGTACTACCCGAAGTAGAGAGCTTTATCAGTTTGAGCTTAGTTCAGAGTAACATGGAGTTGAGAGTTTCTTCGATTTGGACATAATTCTTCAGAATAACAAATTTGTACTACCTGGAATAGCGAACTTTATCATATTGTGCCCAATTCAGAGTAACAGGTTTGTACTACCCGAAGTAGAGAGCTTTATCAGTTTGAGCTCAGTTCAGAGTAACATGGAATTGAGAGTTTCTTCGATTTGGACGTAATTCAGAGAAACAAATTTGCACTTTTGTACTACCTGGAATAGTGAGTTTCGTCAGTTAAGAGTAATGAATTTATAAATTCCTGAGTATCGAGTTTTATCGGTTTTGAGACAATTTGGAGTAAAAAATTAGCGTATTTGAAACAGAGTGGAACAAAAGTTTTATGAGTTTGTAGGCATGTGGGAAAAAATATTATTATTATTTGATGGAAATCGTATTCATTTATAAAATTTATTTTAATGTAACATAAACAAATTTATATATGATTCATTCTAAACTCTTGCCGATTCTCTCCTTTTTCAAACAATAAATAAATAAAAAAAAGAGTTTCTCATGAAATTTCACAGGGAAAAAATTTCTCGCAAATATGGGAAATGATTTTAAATAAACGTTTATTTTAGACCAAGTATGAACGCTCCAAAAACATCGTAGCAGAATTGAATTTAACATGGAGCATTTTTGTGAGAGAAAAATTCTCTTTCTTAGAGGCTCTAATTAAAAACTCTGTTTTGACAATTTAAGCAGAAAGTTTCGTAGCCCGTATCAAGTGGAAATGAAGACTTATGATGGCATATAAAAACGAGTTTTTTCTCCCTTTAAAATAACACTTTTTTTTTCATTTTTATTTCTAAAGTCAAATTTCCAATTTTTAGAGGTTTTTTATGTATGGCCGGAAACATAAAAAAAATATGTTTTATTAGGACCACAAATCTATCAAGAGAAAAACTTCAACATGTGCTTCGAAAGATGGTATCTGTGTCTCTCAGAATAAACATTCACATGTGCGAGAAAAACAGTGGCTAAAGAATGCGATAGATTTTATCTATCTTCCTCTTGGTTTGTGGATTTATAAATTCCAAAGATTTTTTCAGTTTTGGTTCTACACGTAAGATATCTATCATTTTTCACTACGTTTGGTTCCTTTCAAATAGCGGAGTGTGCTGTTTGTTTTTCTTTTGCATGTGGCTTACATATTTGTTTCTACTCTTGTGCTTTAGCACCTGAGCGATTTCCTTATTTAGGGTTTAGCGGTTATAGAATAGAAAAGTTTGAGCAACTGTTTCGAAAAAGGGTGTTCAATTTTGTTGTAGTGATAAAACCTTTCGATTTTTTGTTTTTGCTGTCATATTTTTCCGCTTTATATTCTTTTGAGTTAATACTTATACAATATATTTTGAATTAATAAGTAGCGTTTTTAAAAAGTGTTTAAAGGTGCTTATTTTCGATTTTTGTACTTTTTAAAGACCCTAAAGGTGCTTTTTCATTGGGTGTTTTTAAAAAGTGCTTAATTTTCCCTTTTTCAAAATGAGATTTATTCTTCACTGTGTTGATTTTTGCTTCGAATTATGCAAAAAGACGCAGTTCTCATTGTTCTATTCAACGTTTTCACAATTAATTCATTCCCAATCTATTTCGGCGTATTGTCAGTCCGTATCGTATGAAAACGCCATTCATTGTGCACGATTCAAAAGTTCATGATTTTTGACAACTGTCAAAAACAATGGCAAAAGTTTTTTTTTTCTTTTGACATGACGGTTAAAACAAGATAAAACCGTTAATTGTCAAAAACTTTCCAACAATGCCTAATTACGATATTTTTTTAAAGTGCTTAAAAATATTTTTTGATTGCTTGAAAAGTGCTTAAAAGGTGCTTATTTTTTGTTGAATAATTTGGCTATGCACCCTGTTATAGTGTTTAGCTAACGCGTGTGTTATGCATGGAGCTCTGTCATCACCCCTTTATTATATATTTTTAGTGCCTGGTAAATATTTCTGGTAAAAAAAATCCCCATAATTCTGGATAATAAAACCAAAATATCTAATATTTAAACCACTCATTTCTTAATTTTAAAGTTTATATTGTAACTGTTTACCGAAAATTCTGGTTTTCAAAATTATATTTTTCATTACTACATTTTTATTAAAAAATACAAAACTAAAAAGTGAATTTAACCGAATAACTGGTTTTTATATATTTCTCTATGGTATCACGATAAAATTAACGAATTTCACTTCATTTCCCAAATTTTATCACACATTGTAACCATATTTTATTGTTAATTTTACCCAAATCATTACCTAAGTGCCTCGGTAAAAATTACCGAGCTTTTTGAGGTTAATGAAAAGATAGAAATGCGGTAAATTTTACCATACTGGTAGTTTTACCGTACTTTTTTTCTTAGTGCACATTTTAGAGTTTCAAATTAATATTTAAGCGAGAGAAAAGAGGGAAATCTTTTTATCAAAAATTAACTAGTGACTTGTGAGAAAGGCATAAAATTTCATTATTTGAATAAATGCAAAAATTTGTATATCTTTTAATTCAGAATTTCTTAAAAAATAATAAATATATTATTATGTGAAATTATGTTTAGATAAACCTAAATGTGTGATTGTATTTCTGTTAAATTATCTTCCATATTTGTCTTCCGTATACATGTACTTAGTCATTTGTCTTTTGTATACATGTATACAAAAATATCTGACATACATGTTTTTAAAAAGTATACACTATATTATATGCTAATTTAATAATTTAATTTATTATTAGTATTTTGAAAATCAATTGGCACACTATCGAACAAAGTCTTCATAGGTATTTATCGTTAAAATATATCACGAATTTCTGTCAGAAGTATTTCCGTATTTCTTCATAAATATCTTCTTTATATTTGCGTTTAAAATTAACTTAACGTGCCTGTTTTTAAATGATTTACATATTTGTTTTTAATAATATCTTATGTTTTTGCATTTTATATCAGTGTTTTAAAATTTAATATATTTTTTAGTGATAATTAAACAAATTGCTATAACTTCGTAAACGAATGTGACCACAATGGAACAAAGTCATCTAAAAGATATTATTTTATTTTCTAGGCGCTGAATGAAATGGTTCTTTGATTTGTGATTTGAAGTGAAAAGTGTGGTTGGATGAAACGAAATGGATTTAAGGTGAAACTATAAGTATCGATTGTTAAATGAACCATGCAGCACCTTTTAGAAAGATTACGATACGAGAATTTTAAGTGCTTCTTTCTGTTGCTGATATTTTCGTATTCTCTGCAATGCGGATCGGCTCTCGACCTCAGTAAGTACTATTTTAAAAGGATTTTTATCTCTCAGTGAATTTTTACGCAACTTATTTTATCTGGAACTACAATAATATTTGGAGGAATGCATTGCTTATGGAAAGTTAAAAATAGGCAACTATTCTTTCATCCAGTCTGAGAAATTTCACTCCTTTTTACTAAATCTTTAAAAATCACCACCATCTGGCATTTTAAGTTTACAGGGTGTTCAAATATATTATAAATTTCAAAAATGCATATTCCTATAACGGTAAAGTTTTCAATATTAATAACAACAGTACTTCTTGATTCCTAGATTTAGTGTAAAAATTTTTAAACAGATGGCGCAGCCAAATGTTAATATCAGAAAAAAAAACACTTGAAATTACAGGTTTGAGAACTTCGAAATTTTTTATAAATGAAAACTAATTTATAACATTTTCGAAATGACCACGATTAGCTGAAAAAGGAATTAATTTATAAGCAAAAGAATATAGCATCTCGAACCCACTTTCATTAACACTTATGTTATATGAAAACAGAGGTTTCACAGTGGACTGATTGCAGGACACGGTTCCCAGTGGTCAAGCCTCACTGGCAGTGAACAGTCTGCAGGCGGGTGGCATCGGTCCTCGTTATTCTATTGTAAAGTGCTCGACTTCGCGAACAGGTCATCAGGCTACCAAATCTGGAATCCATTTCTACAACAGAGAATCAAATGTGTGAGGTAATGTCTTCGGATCAGCCCAACAACTCCTGGAAGAAAAAAGGCCTCTGCACCTAGCCTCATTTAGTTATCTGTCGTAACAAATATAAACTGCGCGGTGGGTGAAAAATAAGAAAGATGTCACTATGTTCGTGCTACTAAGCTGCGCAGTGGTGGTAATTACGAACGATGTCATTACGTTTTGGACTACTAAAGGATCAAATTTCTTGTTTATGGTAACCCGTGTAAGGCCTTCTTTTTTCTAGGAGGTATTGATCATCCAAAAATGTTTATCAGACCATCGCCAATAGCCAATTGTGTAGCTCTAGTATGATGTAAATAAAAGACTACTGGAAATGCTACATAAAAATAGCCATAACTATGCATCAAAACGAAACAGATATGATGGAACGAATTAATTGCGCCATCTATGGGAAAATTTTTGTAATAAAAACTAGGAATTTTGGTAGAAAAAACTTATGGTCTCTCACATGAATTTTTTATAAAACTTGTTATTTTTAACAGTTTCAAGGTTATAAAATTCTAGAAACCGTCAATATAATGTAGAAGAATAGTGTATCAGCTAAAAATTAGTGACAAAACACATTAACTGATGAACCCCAGAAAATCAATTTTAGAATTCATAGAAAAACTGGGAAGTTGTGAATGAAATTTCTTTGATATTTAGAACCATCTTATTTGCCGAAGTGGCGTAATTAATGTTCCTTAAATGCAGCTTACTACCATTCGTTTCTAAATCCATACATCAGAATGTTTTTCAAAATAGATTACTTAACATCATTATTTATGAAATATTATACCTAATTTCGAAAGTCTTTTAATTCTGCGTTTTAAATAAGATAAATTTAGATTCGAATGGATTTTGAGGTTCAAATTTTTACAAAGAAGTTTTAAATGGAATAAAATTGCTATGTCGTTCAAAAACTTATATATTTAAAACAAAATAGAAATATTTGTAGTTAAACTTACAATACAAAAATGGGAAATTGAAATTGTTTTATCATTACTTTTTAAACCTTTCAGAATTGAAACAAATGACTGATTTAGAAGTCACATTTGGACCAAGAAAGATTTATTATAATACGCAGACAAATACGTTTTAAACTTATAGAATGAATTTCAAGCTGTACAAAATGCTTATTTCTAAAACAAAATGTGCTTCCTTCTAAAATAGCAATATGGCTGCTTGAAATCAAAGCAGTTATATAATAATTAAATAGTAATACAAAAGCGATGTTAATAAGTTATATTCACATCCAAATAAGTTAATAATACAAAAGAATGTAAAAGCTATAGAATTAATACTTGCGAACATTTCACGTTGTCCAAAAAGTTTTATTTCTAAAGCGAAATATTAGCATATATAATGACATTCCGAGTAAGTGCAATCAAAATAATTGTATCTAATCTTCCAATTTTACGCTGTTAATAAGTCATTTTTACACCCGAATAAATTTTTATAATGCACGGGCATCAGGAATAATCGATTGTTCTACATAAAAGCATACAGCGCTTATCCCTACTTCAGTTAATTTAATTCAGGAAAAGCTTCAAAGTTGAGCTTTAGTGACAAGAAGGCGTCTAACATTTCCTAAATCAATCCAGAAAAAAAGCGGAAGCGACACGATTTTTTTATTTATTTTATTTTTGGCTGACAGACTCTACTTCATTCGTGCTGTCCTTCAACAAAGGATTTCACTATGAAGCCAGTCATCTTGTTCACAACTTGAAGGAAAATCTTGTCGTTTGACATCCGCGTCTGTTTATGATCTGACGCTTTAGCCTCATCTTCTTTCTTTAGAAAAGTTTCATCGCCAAGCGTCACTTGTCTTTAAAACTGATCTAGAATATATTACAATAAATAAAAGATTTAACATGTCACTGAAGCGAAAATAAGTAATGCTTTCTTAACATGGTTTAGTGAAAAGTTTGCTGTAAGTAGAATTGATTGAACTATGTTGTATTTTAATTGAAAAATTACGAAAATATTGTCGTAAGAAATCTAAGCCGCCTTAACAATGCAGCATGGATTGACTAGAAATATTCTATTTGTAAGTAGTCTATTTACATTCCAGATAGATTAAATAAAAAGGAAAAAAAGTATTTTTTTTCTTCAAATTTCGTTCTAGTTATTTTATTTAAAGTTTTTTTTAAAATTGCTTTCCTATTTCATTTCAGGTACTTAAATGCCTTTTTTAGTTATTTTTTTTTTAGTTATTATTTAGTAATTTAAAGAAGTTATTTTTTCGTAGTGGAGTAATTTTTAGTGCTTTATAAGTATGTAGAAAAAATGTATCTATCGAACTAAAAATAAAAATATATCAAACCAAAATGGAAAAACATTATAATAAAAATATAATAAAAAATTAATACTTAAAGAAGATTTATGATCTGCTTAGTTCAAACCTTTCTGTAAAGGGGAAACTTCTAAAAATGCTTCCTTATAGTTAAGATTCATAGAATGTATAAATTACAATTCGAAAAACGCAAATTAACAAGTTCTAAAGATAGGCAATTTCGATACTATAAGGGAGTACTATCACCGATACCAAGATAATAGCAATAAACTATTGTAATGTTTATTTTAGTTTTTTTTTTACCTTTTGTTTTGTTCTTCGTTAAATCTGCTGCAATTAAAAGCAAAATTTTACACCTGTAATAACCAACATTTATTTCTGTATCATCGCCCATATTTCAGAAGTGTGTACTTTTATTTAAAAAATAGAGTAACAAAAACTTTAAACAAATAAATAAAAGAAGCATTATTGAACGCAATTTTCTTTAGAAAATAAAACCCCTATTTAAATTCATAAAACACCGACAAAAGAATTCGAATTGAAAAACCTATTTTTTTTTTAATTCTTTCACTTCTTTTCATTACAAAGCAATGTAATTTCATCTGATAAATAGATTCAGACATCAGGAATCAGCTAATTCCCAAAATCCCACTTAAAAAAACGATCCTCTAAAAATACCATCTCGTCTTTATTTGAAATTCCAATTAAAGATTCTTACATCTCTTACCTTTTTTTAAGAAAAAAAATAACGGAATTAACTTTTTCCACGAAGAAAACTCAATCGGAATGATATGTGATGCTTTAATTGAACATCCTATCCGAACATTCATTACATCCAAATGCACTTCCTAGGAATAATCCTTCCCTTACCAGTTTGACAATCAGATGAAAAGAGCGGAGAAGAGCATCCCTCAATTCTTCGCTCTACTCTGTGCTTGATTCCAATGCAACTTGGCATCCATTAGTGAAGTTAATGCACATACTCTTTCACGGGGCTGAACATATTCGACTCCCCTCTCTGCCCCCCACACAGGGAACACGAGTTCGCCCGCCGGGGTTAATTATACAGTTTCCATTACGGCACAGAATTGAACTGAAGGGGTTTGCGCGAAGATTGTTGGTGACAATTTCCACTTCACGGAAAAGAGGGTTGTTGTCCGTCAAAGTTCTGTCATGTTGTAGATTTGCATAAGTTTGGACTTTCAGAAATTAAGAGCCATGCATTTATGACATTTCTGACCATTTTATAACATTGGAAATGAATATTTCTTGCTCGATAATATTGTGAGCATTTGCTATCTTATTAATGCAATTACCAAAGCTATTAGCGTAATTTGCGGTGGGTTTAATCAACTACTAGTTCAGTTTTATTTTGGTTGTTAGCTTCTGTTAAACGAATTATTATGGAATCTAAGTTCTTGGACAATTTAAGAGAGTTGGATTTAAAATAAATGCAAATCTTCAGATTATAATTATGATGTATTAATTATAGAGTTTCCAATATGGCTCAAAATTGAACTGATGGCATTTGTGCGAAGATTGTTGGTGTGGCAATTTCCACTTCACGGAAAAGAGGGTTGTTGTCCGTGAAAGTTGTGTCATATTGTAGATTTGCATAAGTTTGGACTTTCAGAAATTAAGAGCCATGCATTTATGACATTTCTAGCTATTTTAGAATATTGGAAATGAATATTTCTTGCTCGATACTATGGTGAGCATTTGCTATCTTATTAATGCAATTATCAAAGCTATTGGCGTAATTTGCGGTGGGTTTAATCAACTACTAGTTCAGTTTTATATTGGTTGTTAGCTTTTCTTAAACGAATTATTATATTAAGCATTTATGACATTTCTGGCTATTTTATCTTCGGTAATATTCGAAATGAATATTTTTTACTCTATAATATCGTGAGCATTTGCTATTTTATTAATGCCATTACCATATCTATTAGTGTAGTTGGGGAGATTTAATCATGTAATTCAATTTTATGCTTGC